CCAGAGTGCTTCTGGGAGAAGACAGAATTCACCCTCTTGGGCATGAAGTTGACCTAGGAATCCAGAAGTCTGTAACTCCCCTGTCAACTTCAATCTCTTGGTAGTGTTTCCTTGGAGCACCTTGGTTGGGAAGGATTCTGAGACTTGTGTTTATCTCAGCAGTGGTTATCAGTGTCTTCTAATGCAGGCGGGGGTGGCACATGGCAGTTTGTTGTAAATGATTCATCATAGATTAACATGGGAAATTGTCTAAATCTTTGGCACATTTTTCAAACTGCTTGACCTCTCAGATTTTATGTTTATCACTTGCTTTCAAAGTCATAGTTACCCTTACATTTCTGCCTTCATGATTCAAGGATATTAATAATTATGGGAAGCACATCCAAGTATATCTGAAAGGAATCCTTAAAAATTTGACAGTGATAATCCCAGTGCATTTAGTCTTTTCTTTTTTTTTTAATTTCAATTATTTATCTGACAGAGATCACAAGTAGGCAGAGAGAGGGGGGAAGCAGGCTTCCTGCTGAGCAGAGAGCCCAATGCAGGGCTCGATCCCAGGACCCTGGGATCATGACCTGAGCTGAAGGCAGAGGCTTTAATCCACTGAGCCACCCAGGTGCCCCCATTTAGTCTTTTCTTGATTCTCACAAGCTATGTGGGTAAAGAGAAAGTTAAAAGGGTACTGTGTTCCATGTAAAAAATTACAGGATCTTATTCGGTAAGAAACAGGAAGTTATTTAAATAATAGATAGGACTACCAATATGTTAACAGGAAAAAGAAATAGTAGAAATATTAATAATCATTGGAGTGAAGCTATGGGCAAGAATATTTAGGATAATGAAGCAGTCTAGAAGAGAGACAAAGAGAAACTTAGCACAACCACAGCACCAAGAAAGTAAAGAGGTGGGGAGAAATTCAGGAGACATTTTTGAGGTAGACTCACTAGAATCTAGGAACTGATTAGATGGAGGGAATAGGAGTAAATGATGATTACAAGAGTGTTCACATAACCAACTATGTGAGTAAAGATTTTATTAACTATTAAATGGGGAAGGCAGGAAAAGGAGTTATTCTGTGGGAAGATGTCAGTGACTACATTGATTATTTGCTTGTTTGCTCCTAGGTCTGTGTTCTTCCCTACAGAGGGAACTACATTACTGAGGCTCCCTGGTTTCCAGTCAGGTTTGGGCAATGGCAGGTGTGGGCAGAAGAGTAGAGGTTGGAAGGCAGGGAGAAGCCAGGCAACATTTCTCAGGGTGACCCTATCTTTTTCCAAGGTTTTAGTTCCCACCAGATAAGCTTTCTGTCTTTGGTTCTGGCTTTCTCTTTGGTCATAGCTCTAGCCTCAACTATAATTCTAGCTCTAGCTGGGTGGCTTCTGGATTCCAGAAACTCAACCTCTTCCTGTTATCCCCTTGCCCTAAGTGAGACAGTGGCCTCCTGCTTTTGTTAATCTGAGTGATCTTGTCATCCCCACTTCAGCTTCTTGTCTCTTTTATTACCCGTGTAACTGGTTCTCAGTGTTAAACTCCCCATTTGAAATACCTCAACTGGTTTATTTCTTTGACTGGAGCCCAACTGATATGATAATTTTTTATTTTTTATTTTTTTATTTATTATTTTTTTAAGATTTTATTTATTTATTTGACAGAGAGAGATCACAAGTAGGCAGAGAGGCAGGCAGAGAGAGAGAGGAAGGGAAGCAGGCTCCCCACTGAGCAGAGAGCCCGATGCGGGGCTCGATCCCAGGACCCTGAGACCATGACCTGAGCCGAAGGCAGAGGCTTAACCCACTGAGCCACCCAGGCACCCCAATAAATTCAGTTTTAAATACATTGAGCTTAAGTGTGTGACTTCCTAGTCAAGAGCTCCAGTAGGCTTGGAAATCATTACCAAAGGCTTGGAGACAGAAAGCTGGGTTGGGAAATCAATAGCATATAGCTCGTATCTGAAGCCATAGGTTATATTTCCCAAGTTGAGGAAATGAAGAGATTAAATCTGAAAGATTAAATAGTGGGCTCACTTATGACATAACAGTATTTTGAATTTAGGCGAAGGAAGAACTTGAAAAGACCAAAAGAAGTACGGAAGTAGAAAACCCAGGAGTGTCATAGAAGATGAGAAATGAGAAATGAAATTTCTGAAGGAAAGAGCACAATAAAATCAAACTTGGTGGAAATAGCAGAGAGGGCACACAAAAAAAGGATCAAGGCATGTAAGGCAAATGTTCTCATATAGCAAGGGGAATGTCATCGCTCCCTTTGTGAGAACAAGGACAATGCAATGGTGGCGAAGAAAAAGATAAGGGGGAAAAGTCAAAGCCATCAATGACCATAAATTCCTTTTTCAGGAGAGTGGACAATGAAGACCTTGAGAGAAATAGTACCTAAGTCGGAGGAGAGGAAGAGCTAAAGAAATGACATAAGTGGATACTGAAGACTCCACAAAAGTAAGAGGGGATGAGGCCAGATGCTTGAGTGGAATGGTTATTCCTTTTAAAAGAAGGGAGGATAATGTGATTGGTCAAGATATATATTTATAGGGTTACTGATTCTACCTTTTCTAATGATACTATCAAGTAATATCTACTATGCACAAACTTCTAACATGAACAGAGGTATGTACCTTTTCCTTATTCATAGCTCTCCTTAAAACAAAAAGGCGAGAGGAGGAATCACACACTTGAGGCTAAATTCTAGCTTTACTCCCAATGTTTCTAGCAAAAGATGAAAATTTAGTGTACACAGTGATTGCTATTAGCATCTTAAAAAAACAGACATTCATAAAATTGGTTTTTCCTAAGTGCTAATCTGTCAAACTTTTGTGATGAGGATATTTTGTATTACATATTTGAAAATTGCTACGAGAATACTATTAACTATAGTCCCTATTCTGTACCTTGCCTTCTCCATGATATATTTATTGTATAACTAAGTTTGTACCTTTTGACCACCTGCACCCATTTCCCCAACCCACAATTCTTGACAAAGTTGTGACCCCATCACTTACTTCTACAGATGCTAAGCTCCCTGAAAATATTGGGGGAAACCAGTTCCATATATTCTTTATTTATATACACCCGATTTTTTTTTGTATTATCCTGAAGCTATAAATTATACTGCAGTATGTGTGTGTCTCTGTTGTGTATTTGCTTATAACTGGGAAGCTTAGAAATCAAGCAGCTGTAAATCAATTCCCACAAGAAAAAAAAAATTGGGGCAAATAATGTCCAGGCATCAAGCAATAGATTGAAGGGAACTGATGTTTCCATAAATACATTGTTTTGTTAACAAGAAAGGAAGGTCTTCTAAATAATTTAAATGCCAAGAAGAGAGGCAATTAATAACAGGTCATTTACATAGCAATTTAATATATACCCTGTGCTGACCATACTTTACACATTTTACCTAATTTAATCCTTAAAACAGCCCTACAAGTAGACAGTAGTGTTACCTCCATTTCACAGAGGAGGAAGAGAGCCCTAGAAGAGAATTTGTCCCAGGCTACTCTGGAACGCAGGCAGTGTGGCTCTCAAGTCTTTACTCCTGGGTCCCCTGGGTGGCTCACACAAGTGTCGGGCTCTTGATTTTTGTTCAGGTCACGATCTCAGGGTCATGGTATCGAACCCTCCATTAGACTCGATACTCATCATGGAGCCTGCTTGAGATTTTCTCTCTCTTCTTCTGCCCCTCCCCTGGCTTGTACATGACCTCTCTCAAAACAATCTTAAAAAATTTTTTTTTAAAAAGCCTCCTGACCGAGAAGAGTAAATGAAGCAAGATGGGATTGGGAGGGAGATAAACCATAAGTGACTCTTAATCTCACAAAACAAACTGAGGGTTGCTGGGGGGAGGGGGGTTGGGAGAGTGGGGGTGGGGTTATTATGGACATTGGGGAGGGTATGTGCTATGGTGAGTGCAGTGAAGTGTGTAAACCTGGCGATTCACAGACCTGTACCCCTGGGGAAAAAATGTTTATAAAAAAAAAATTAAAAAATGCCTCCTAACCACTCCACTCTAGTGTAATTTATACCTAGCTCATTCCTAGATATATTTACTAAAATTTTCTGCCTTTTTTAAAGGATTAATTAGGGGTAGAGTTGTTAAAATATTGTTTTTCCCCTAAATGTACCTCTAAAGAAAACTTCCACAATGAATAATTTTGAAGTTTTTTAATGCACGAAAAGAACATCTTAGAAACAGAACAGGTATTGACTTATTAACGATGAAGCACTATATAAAGAAGCCCCCTCCCCACTTAGTAAATAGGAATATAGTGTAAATAGACGTGAAAGGAGGTGAACACTTTAGGATTAAATGCAAACCCTAAAGTTGTATACAACATTCATATATGGCTTATTATTTCATGGCAATAATATTCTCATAACGATGTATATGACATTTATACGTACTGGTAGGATGCTTTTGACTCAAAAGTTTAAACAAAAATACTGGAGAGGTAGTTTTGCCAATGCAAGGTGATTAAAAATAAAGGCTTTACCTTGCTTTTTTTCCTTAAACATCTGTAACCATTTCCCTTTGTTCTAATTTTCTTCTGGATTAGCCAGGAAGATAATGATGCTTTTAGAAGAAGCCAATTCAAAACCCTCTAAGAATGGATTCCCACAACTACACAATGATGTTTTTGAAACAACTGCTCTGAAATTCCCTGGGGTGGTTGTGTGTGTGTTTGTGTGTGTGTCGGGGGGGGGTTCTCCACAGTTTTCTTCTGTCTTAGAAAGCATATGGATTCTGGCTCCAAGGAGACCTGTTAAGGTTCCACCAGGAGTTACAGGGACTCATCCTGTTTTTCTCTTCAAATTCTGCATCATGGTCTCATGATGGTAATTTCTATAGTGACCCAAGAGTATTGGTAGGTACCCTGTCTTGGTAAGTCAGGGATGGCTTTAATAAATATAAATGTATATGTATATATATACTGAAGCTTGAAACAAAAGTTCGAAAAATTCTTTAGCTAGCCAGTAGAATAGCATGAGGAGTACTAGAAGGGACTGCATGTCATTCCTCAGTTGTGTTTCATAAAGGCATCACATCTTAGGTGTAAAGAGTTTTAGCTTCTGCCTGTCACCTGCTGCTTTATCTGCAGGAGACAACATGGAGTGGGGAAGGTCTACAGATATTAAAATTCTTTGACACTGGTCATTTGAGCCTATGTACAAACTAGCTTATCCTAGTCTTACAGTGAGAAATAAGCCCGAAAAAAAAAAAAAAAAAGTCAAGGGGCAACAAAACATCGGTCAGTTCTCAAATCTAGAATAGCCATTTACCAGACAATGGTTAGGAACCACTAGAAACAATCCGACATAATATTAATCAGGTATGACTTGTTACACTTCAGAAAGCATAAATATACAGTAAGGAAGAGGTTCCTATGTAGCCCCACAGAGTTATGTACAAGTTGGAGCTGCTGTGAAGCTGAGCAGAAACTCCTGGAACACCCCCCACGCCCCCCACCCCAGCTCTAAGCAGATCTCCGCACACAGTTATCCTTGCAAACGCACAACGTGAGAAATCAAGGTCACCAGTGAAATAGCTCTTTGCCAGCTGAGGGTCTTCTTTCCCATAAATATGCACAAGTCTGGGCTCCAGGGGTGGTCTGTGGCCTCACAGGTCTTGCCCCTTCGTGGTGCCACAATCTCTCCGTGCACGTGGAGCCGAGGCACGTGCTGGACCCCTAACGCCTGCTTCCGGTGATTCAGGTCAGGAGCTCCTGCCTTCACAGTCTCCAGATGCAAATCAAAGCATAAATAACAGAGACCACGCTCGTGGCTCCTCCGTTCACAACATTACTGGGAACAGATACTGGTCAAAGCAGCGCAAAAGCTTCACGCCAGGGTCCACGAGTGGAGAGGAGTTTTGTGCACTTTTGCAAAAATGACCCCCTCCCCCAAAATCTACCCTACGTGTCTTTTATTTTACTGGTTAGCCCTGTCTGTAGCTAGGAAGACACTGTGTTGCTCCTGGGCTCTTTCTATCAGCTTCCTCTTCTTTTTCTTGTTCTTCTTCTCCTTTGCCTTTGGGGTTCTCTTTCCTACACCAGGGGAAAGAAAAAGAAATGAAGACATGTCAGAAACGGCACTTTCTCTAGGAAAGAAAACACAAAACATTAAGAGTTTTACACAAAGCCCATCTGGAAAACATCACCTACGGAAAAAGCAGCCTCAAAGAGAAAATTGTTCACATTAATTTTGACGGAATAATAATAATTTACTAAATTGGATATGCTGTCTAAAACAGAGACTGATCTTCCTGTTATGAGGAACTGGCATATTTAAAAACTTCCCAGTGGCCTGATCAGTCTTGCAAATATCATCCTGCCACAAAAATTCCATTTATTCCCTCCGACTTTTAACAATGCTACCTTTTACTAGACATCTTTACATCTTTCTATGGCTCCACATGTCAGTGGGTCACAAGAAAATAAGCAGCTAACTACAGTAAATATACCAGAAGATTCCATCTCCCTGGTCCTCCTCTTCCCCAGGCGAAAGAAACGTCTTGCTTTTAACATTATTCCCTCCCTGTTCTCCAAAGACCAGTGTATGAAATGACATAGGTGGAACTCTTCATTTTCTATAAAAATTCATGAGGACATTGTTCATTATGTGGCTTAGGGCTTCTTACCCAAATTCCCTAGACCAGTTATTGTGAGCAAGAAAAATGCTGGTTTGTTCCTGAAGAACTGGGGAGAGATGTCTTCCTACCAGAAGATCACACAGCCACCTAGTAATTCTATTTCTCCTCTTTGCCTTTGCCACCAGGAAGCCCAGATCACTAGCTAAATAGTTGAGGCTTGTCTCCATCAGAGTTGTTGAATATAGTCTCCCCTTTGCCTCTGCTCTTTTTCACTTTTTGCATCTCCTGGTTATGGTTCGCGGTTTTTACAATGTTTCAACATCTCTTTGCAAGTATATACACATAAGATCTTGAGAGAAGAGTAATAGGCATTTGCTTTAAGTCCATTGCCCTCTTTGGGCTCTAAACACAGAAGAACTGTGGGATTTTTAGAACAGAAAGGAACTCAAAGGTCACTGAAGTTTGCAGAAATTAAGTCATCAACATACACTTTCAAAACAGAAAGATTCTTTCCTTACCAGACTCAAATCTCGTCTCCTACCCACCCTACTTCCATGTTACTTGTGCAGTCCTACAAAACTTTTATGTGAGGTGTAGCTCTTTGACACTGTAGCAATCAGTACCACAAATTGGACATTCTGTTCTAACGCATGCTTTCCCACCTTCCAAGACCATTGATTACAGGGATGTATCTGGCCAGCTTTTCATTTGAGACAATGGTGGGGGGACAGCTGTGTAGGGAATGTGAAAGAAACAGACTCTGCCCTAGGAAAGCAGAGTCATACTAGATTATAGGAGCCTGGGAGATTTCTAAACAAGGGAGGGATTTTTCATTTTATTTGAGGATGGAAGAGAGTCATGTAGTTGGCACATAGCTGACAGTCAACAAATGTTTGCTGAGTAAAACTTTATCACAAGATAAAGAATAATTTATTTTTAATAGGACATGGCAGTAAAATAATCAGAATATGATCGTGCTCTCACATTAAATTATAAAGTTCCCCGAAGTTAATTTCTGGTTCTTATTAAATTCTGGCATTAATGTTATAACGGCATCTTGCCATCTTTAAACATAGTTAATCCTACCCAATGAAACCTTAGTTCAAACCATCATTAATCAAAGAAGTTGTAAAGTTAAAACTATTTGAGTAACATTATATCTAATGATGAGACACACCTAAGGAGGGCAGAGAGATGAAACGTAAAATTGCATATTTAAAAAGAAGTTTCAATTATAAAGTTTTTGAAGATTTCCTTAGTTCTAGATTTTCTTTAAACAAACAACAAAAAACTTAGTTAAAATCATTGCTGACTACATTGCAAAAATGAGCTCATGTTTAATTTGTTTAAAACCCGAAGTTTCTTTTAAAAGCGAACTGAAATTGAGTAAATGGAAAAATAATATTGCTAGATGTTTAAATGTGTTAAGATAAAAATATACTGGGTATTTGTTCAAGAAATCTTTTCCCATTCACCACTTCAATTTTTCAAATGAAAAAGGTGCAGAACATTCCCTAACAGAATATCTATGCTAAATGACTGGAAATTCTTATTTTAAGAGAGGGTCAATTTCATGCCACTTACCTAATATGTCATTCTGATATAATTGTCAGTATCAAATATTCTTTGGGTTTGCTGGCTGATATAATATTGTGTGATAGGAAAGTTATTCAATATTTGCATAAAATAGTCCATAGTGTGGCCAAAATTTCAGCAATGCTTCTGGAAACTTATATAAGTTTTCAAGTTGTACAATTATTCCACTGGCAATAAGTTATATGGTACTGATTTCAACTAAAGATGTTTGGGAGATCAAATTACAACCCTAAAAATTTCCCTCAGAAGTCTCTTGTTGAATGACATCTCTGTGCTATCAGTTTATTGCTTCATTTTGTTTCTGGTCAGCCCCATTTCTCATGTAGTATATACTGAAAATACTGAAGAATTAAGATGGTTAGCCAAGATTTGACCACAGATAGGCCTAAATTACCTGAAAATATTTTGTGGTCCATTGTGGGCTATTCTGACTTAAAGCCCAACTCAAAGAAGCAAAAAATATTAAAATATAACCTAACTAAGGTATAAAAAAGGTCTTATACATATTTTCTTCTGAACTCCACTAAGATTTCCAAACATAAGAAATCGGTAAGATTAAAGCTAACAGAAAATACATATCCCTGTTTTGATCTATATATTTGAAAATAAGTTATATTGGATATACAAGTGTGCTAATTTATGTTTCCATTTCTTTACACCTGTGGTTAGATTAGATTTGGAGAATGCCTTCTAGACTTTCAATTATGTACATTCACCCTGTACAGGAAGCATTTAAAGGCGAGTATGATGCCAGTCACCCAAAGAGAAATTCAAGTCATGGAATTAACTTTCTTTTTAGTTCATGAGCAGCAACCTGGAAAATATACTGCCCAAGAACAGCAGAAAATGAGCCTCTAGCTATGTCCAACTCTAATGACACATTTGCGTGTCTTTGTCCTCAGTGCTTTAAGAATACAGTGGCCTTGACAAATCACTGCTCAGTGAGTCTCTTCAGCCCTGTTCTACAGATGCAAGAAGACCAGCTCGGGTATTACAGCTGTTAAGGAAAGCAATAGGGCTTAACAGAGAAAGGCAGAAGGAAAGGGAGCCAGTAAGTAAGTGTGGTCTTATAATGAAGATGTTTCGTAATACATCATACTTGTGACTCTCAGTTTTTACATTTATGGAATGAAGACACTATGATCCTCTTTCACCAGAAAGTTGTACAAAATATCACAAGCAAGACAAGATCATCCAAATGAACAAAGTTAGAAAGATACCATCAAAACCACACTCTAACCAACATAATTATATTGATTTGCACACATGTGGAAATGGTCCAACAGGATAACCTATCAACTCCTCTACAGAGAAAGGTGAACAGCCCCTTATGGAAATACTCTTAACCTCCAGCTGTAGATTACTGCTATTAGAATCAGAAATAAAATGGATTCTTTTCACCATGATATCAGGCAGACTCACAAATTACATGAAGCTGTGAAAATAGGAACTCCACTGCCAGGAGGCATGAATTTCATTCTTTCCTAAGCCCCAAAGTCTAGGAAAGTCTTCAAAAGGTTTTTCCTCTCACTAGGCTTAGGTAAGAGTTTTTTCATAATTGGAACAATGGTTCCGGTATATCCATTAGTAAGGCATAAATGTTGTGTAGGATTTCCGTTGAGATTACTAAGTGTTTTGAGGAAGACGTTTCTAATGGTAAATGAGATGAATGAAAATTGAGAAAAAATTCAGTAGCTGTGACTATGAAAAAAAAAAAGTCTCTCTCTACACACACACACACACACACACACACACACACACAGACGGGAAAGTAAGCCACAATTATGACAAATGTAATTTCCACTGTTAGAACCACCACTGTGATGACAAAGGTGATCATCTGAAACCAGGGCTAATTTCTATCAAATTTCAATGATAAATTTGTGATGTTAACTTGAAACCTGGGCTTCCCTGTATTTATGAAATTCACCAGGGAGATTCGGAGATCACCTCAGAAATTGAGCCATTCTTCAAAGCAGCTGAAACTGAGGGACAAAAAGTCTGACAACCACCAGGCTGGGGAACTTTGTCATACTTGAGAGGACACACTAGAGGTAGAGGGGAGAAAGTTGCTTCCACACCTTCACAAGGACTGAGCTGTAGACAATGAATAGCAATTGAGCTATTTCTTTCTCATATGGGCAACCTGAGTCTGCCCAAGAATGAGTAGAAACAGAGATTTATTTATTTAAGAGTGATTGATGATTCTCTGAAAAAATGTCAGTTGGCTCCTAAATATTTTAAAAGCTCATATAAAAATAGACAAAAGACTTAAATATAATTCATAAGGGAAATAAAAACAACTAGTAAATATATGAAACAATCAAATCTCACAATTAAAAGTGCCAAATAAAATGAGTTGCCATTGCCAAGATTCTTAAAAGTAAAAAAGTGAGAATGTGGTGAGACAGGCATCAGGATGCATTATGAGAATATAAAATTGATACAGTCTTTCTAAAAGCCATCTGGCAATGTGTACAAAAGCATTAAAATATTCATAACTTTCGACTCCGATCTAGGAACCCATCCTAGGAAAATAATCTAAACGTGGACAGAGATGTATGCACAGAGATGTTTACTGTAGAACTCTGAAAAAATTATAAATTACCAAAATGTCCTCCTACACAATTTTTCATGACCTCTTTCTAGGATTACTAAAACAGTAAGTGTCCTTTCAATTATGTAGTATTTGTATCTTAAGGCCCAGGAATTACATTTGTTCCCAAGAGAAATCACATGTCCCTAAAATTTATCATAAATAGGTATAAGGAAAGACTGTGGTACAAAACATTCCTCTTCTGGTGGTAAGCAGATTTTTGGGTGGCATGGTTGATCATAATTGGATGTAAGATATAAAAG